AGACCTGACTTTTTCTTAAATTTTGAAACTATTTTAGACTTTAAAACTATCAGGTTAGATCTTATTTTAACTAGTGAGAAACCAAATCCTATACTGGCTTAAAGCAAATCATTTAAGGCTATATAGTTGTGAAAAAATATAATTTTATTTACTCGCTAACTTTGGCAGATTTTATTATTCCGAAAATTAATTCAGTTAAAAATAGGCTGAATGGCTTGAATGAAGAAAATAAGCTGGTAACTAAATAAATCAAATACGTTAACCTTCGCTTTCTAATTTTGCTAAGTTGAAATTTATTTGAATGCCATTTAACTCTTATTATTGCACTTTATTTTTAAATATAATTAAAGAACACTTCAAGTTTGAGTTATTATTTTAAAAGCAGCATTTAAAAGGAGATCCTACCTTAGATTTTCACCTAACAACTTTAATCTTAAAATAAAATTGTTGTATATTATATCAAAAATTAAATGATTGATTATTGACAATAGTAAACTATAATTAAGCAGAATATAATAATTTTTTTGTTTAGATAAAGAGATACTTTACTTTCCATGATTTCAAGATAGAGCTTGGTTTATTCGGTGTCCAGCAGTTTACCGACCAGATAGATTCTTACACAGTACTCAGACTTTGCCTCGGGTCGGGGCCTCTTTAAGTTTTATTACGGGCGCGAAATGGTGACCATAAAAGCAGCCCTGAACCCTGGGCAAATTGACAAATGTTGGCACGCAAATTGGGGAGACGACAGGGGGGAGGGAGTGCAGCACTATGGTGGGCATTTATGGGGCACCTTTCCTTTTAATTTGCCGTGATTAATTTGCATATTTCGGCCTGCACACGGCATGCGGAAGTGGCGGCATAATTGTGGAATTATAAGCATCATAAATTAAGTTTTCTGCACCTCGGCTTAGTGAGCCGTAAATATGCGATTTTATTTGGTGTTTATCATTTCAGTTTTTATTGATTTAATGCAAATGCGAATTCAAAGTGCCGTGTAATTAGCAGCCAATAAGTCGGGAGTGATGGAGCTGTTGTCTCGGTGGAAAGACGTTTCCTGAAGCCGATGATGACTTACTGAAATCGTGGAGAGATGTGCAAATGCCATTGACAAATGATCGACGACCGGGGCGGGAAATAAAAGCGAACGACTGTTTGTTTAGTACATGATACATGAGTTTTATTTGTATTTTACTTGTATCCATCTTGTATCGATATACAATATATTTCGTAATATAATTTCACTTAAATTTTTGTATTCTTTATGCTGCTTCAATGCGGTTTTCAATTGTTTACACATTACATTTTCTCTTGGTAGTTTCTTGCCTTCTCTTGAGTTCAGTAATCGTATTACATTTAGCATTCAATTGTATTTTTTCTTTTATTTTGTTCTTTGTTTAGCAGAATTTTTGGTTTCGATTATATGTAGTAGTATGTATATAATATTCAGTAAAATGATCCCTACATTTTGTATGCTCATGTCATATTTTTCAATCTAGATGTATGTCTGTATATATATATATATTTATATATAGTTAATATCTTAAAACAGCAATTATGTTTTGCATATGTTATCTGTCGTCTGCGCAAGGTCTGCACCTCGGGAAATGAACATTCATTTCATCTTCCTTGAATTTAAAGTAAGTTCTGCGACAATAATAATTTTAATTTAATCGTTAACAACATTCCGTCATTGACACACAAACAAACATCGTCATATACATTAAATAGAATTCTGCTTTAGTTTATGGTTTTTTTTGCTTACTGTTTTGCTGAACACTAAAGCGTCGCCATCAAATGATATATTCAAATTTGGAACACAAGATGAGGACTTGGAGCTGCCATTGTACTAGCTGTATGTGTATGGGTGTATCCACTGTATCCACTTTTATGAGTCTCGATTTATTAATTTTCGATCTGCTCTTGACTTTTGCTCTTTTGCGAGAACAAAAGTTGTCTTATTTGTTATTTTTAGCTACCTTTTAACTTTATTTGCATTAGTGATGCCCGTCGCGAGTGTTTGTTTGCCATTAAGTAGTTTCATAGCCATTACACATCACTCAAACGGGCATTTGTATGTGTGTGTGTGGGTGTGGGTGTTCTCATAGGTGTGTGGGTGTGTGTGGGGCTACTACAAATTGCAATATAAGCTAATCCATGTGTGTTCTAAGTGAAAACATATTTTCAAGCGAGGTGTCAAACGAAAATCGAGGAATTCAACGGAAAATGCTTGGCATGATTAAAAGCTAACAGTTATAATTACAGATTTTTTTGCTTATTTCGTTTGTTATACTTTTACCTTTGTTTTATTACCACTAACAAGTAAGAACACATATTTAACCACAATTTGTTTTTGTTTTCCGTTCTCTGGCTTGTTTCTGTTTGTATTGTGTTTGCTTGCTGCTTAATTTATACAAATTGCCTACTTAAAAAGTCATAAATCAGAGCCTTACTGCACACCTGCTGCTTTCGAGTGTGTTATTCATAATATATAATTAAACTAAATAAACAATAGGCCATATATTGATATGTATTTGATTTTTATACATAAAAGACTATGTATTTAATTTACTAAACTTCGTCTCTGCCTTTTAACTCTAATTGTGAGAATTGTTGTAATGTCAAATGCATATCTGTGCCTGGATTTTTCAGTTTTTATCGTATTATATATTTTTATTTCATCAGATTCAGATTTAGATTCTGTTTTTGTGAGTGTGTACTTTGTATTGTATTCTATTGTATAGCAATCAACATATTTATTACATTGTACAGAGAGTTTTGTCTACCACCTAGATTTCGATTTTATTATCAGATGTCGTAGCTGATACAATTTTTAACTTGTCTTTAATACACAATAAACAAAAACATGAACTATGTTTTTTTTGCGTTTCGGTTTTATTATTCCTTTTTTATACAAAACACAAACACAATAACCGTCTAAGGATTCTGCTCATGTATTTTCTATTCCTACGATTCGTCCTTCTATGAAGTGTGTGTGTGTGTTTGTGTGGGTATGCGCGCTTGTGTGTGTGACCAGCATGCTTTCATTATTATCATAGATTAGAATATGAGTGTTTCCGTTTCCGGTTCCGTTTCGATTCGTTTATATATAAATTCTTTTACAACTGGCAGACTACTACAGCAAAAGCACACTGAGATGTGTTGGTGTGTGAAAGTGGGTGCGTGAGTGCGTGTGTGTGGTTGTCCTATCGTATAAATATATAAATATATTTTATTAAAAATGACCTGGAAGAACCGCAACGAAAGCCATAACCTGTACAAATCATACGAGTAGCGATTAGTGCACCTTCACCAAAAAAATGAGACGACGAAGTGTCCATGTCCATGTCCATGTATAAAAATTTAGATCTATAAGCATAACACTTGGAATTTGTCTTTCATTCGTTTGCTCCTTTTGCTTCTAAGGCGAAATATTATATTGTCAATTCTTTGGCTTGAGCCGAAAACCATGCAAAATGACAAAAAATATTCCTAATTTCGGGTGAGACGAAAAAAAGGTAGGAAAATGCATATAAATGGTAACAACGTAGTCGTAGAATGAGTACTTTTCACTTTTCACTTCTCTTGTATTTTGTTTTTGAAGGCAGAAGGCATAATACACGGTAAACACATGTATTCTCTTTTTGATATTCATTAACTCTATACTCTCTGTGAGTGGGCGCACAGTTAATACTGCCCAATGGTGACCTCTGACCCCCTGATCCCACCTGACCTTGGAGGCCGGCCAGGTGGGCGTGGCCGTGGCCGTGGCACGGGCAGCACTCGCTCGGGCCCACTCCTCTCTACAGAATTACAGGATTAACTATCAAGTCTAGTCTTGGAATCGGTTACTTTATGTATATATAGTACCTAGATTTAATTACTTTTTGGTTTCGGTTAAGAGGCGAACGTGGTGCAATCATAGGGATAGGGGATAGGGATTAAAGCTAGTTATCTTGGAGTTCGTCTCACACTTTTTTCGTGTCCACAGTTTTAGACAATGGCTTAGTACAAAATTTTAAAGTTATTCATCATTTGTTAATATCTCCATTTTACGCAATTTCGGTTTTTATTTTGTTTTTTCATTTCGCTTCTTGCATGGTATAAAAATATAAATGTTCCACATATACTTAAAAAATCCTTTTGTTTAAGTTATTATTTCGCATCATGCAGTGTTATTATTTGTTTCGTTATGTTAGTTTCTTGTTTGTCCCTTTAAGAAGTATTTAAAGTAATGCATAACTTAGGAATGCCTTGTGGATCTGCTGCTTCCGATGCGCTTCCCTCCTCTCGCATTTCGCTCAATTGTAGAATTACTCGTTAATCGCGGTGCAATTGTCGTATAACTATGGGGAGATTTCTAAGTGAGTGGCTTGCTATCGTTGCTTGCATTGGTGTTGAGTATCAGATGTGTAGTATCAGACATAACGATCAGATATACAGTGTCCTAAGTGCATTCGTCACCTGGCTAGAGGGTCACATAAATTTTCCTAGATGCTACAGTTGAAAGCGAACATCGCTCAGTAGGCCTCGACCACAGTTCATACCTAATACAATACAATAATCGTTTATTTATTTGGGATTCGCTTGGTTTTTTGGTTTTTGGTTTTAAGTTTTTGGTTTTAGGTTTTAGGTTTTAGGTTTTAGGATTTTTCGTTTTTGTTTATTGGTTGGTTTTAAAACTTTCAAATGTTAGCAAACAGTTAATGTTGTTGTTGTTCTTCATAAGTCTAATACTTGTTGAATCTATGTATTATCAGATAGTGTGTGGTATTATAATAATTGTTGATAAAAATAACTTAATTAATATCAGTGTGGCTTACCTTAGTAAATTTCGAAAGGTTTTCGATTTCCATAGTTAATACATATTGATATGCCTTTAATACGATTACAGAGTACGGTTACGATTACAGATTACAATTACGATTACTTATTAGCTCTCATTTAGTCTGCGACACACACTGAACTCTAGGGTTGACAATGACCTTTCATTTTCTGGATTTACGTTTTGAACAATATTTATTTATAGATATAGACATACCAAGTACATATACGTTACTCATTATACAATACGTTTTGTGTTAATCATTGATCCAATTTCGCTATGTGTATAAAATTTCTAATTACCATTATTCAGTATTAAATCATTTCATTTTTCCTCCATCCAAGCTCTCACTAAGCCAATTTGTAAAACGTTTAGTACAAATACAATAATATACTGATATGTTTTGCATTATAAATATCGTCTTCGCCCCGAACTATGCTTAAATCTCATTTTTCGACCGATTCTTTAGTACAATTTATCAATTTGCTTCGCTTTGTTCGCTTCGAAAAAATTTGTCTTGGGTAAGTGCTAGACTTGGGGCTATATTCATTATTTTTCATTTCGTCCCTCCTAATAAACCAACGCCAATTTTTGTACAATACAATTGTTGATTTTTGCGTAAATTTCCATTTGGGTTTTCTCATAAGAATCTTGTGTGGTTACAAATTTCGTGTGTGGTTGGTTTTTCCTTGGGAATTTAAATCGAAATCAAACGAACCCTCAACCTAAGCATGAAACCAATGCAATTTGGCCAAATATCGTTAGGCGACAAGGACTTTTTCGAACTGAAAGCAAAAATTGTGCCATTAAATGCGCTCAAAGATCGCTCAATAATGTGGGCGTGGCAAAAACTGTCTGTCATCTGAGCGAGTTTTCCGTTCGGTAAACGTATATCTGTAAACTTTGTTTCATTTTGGCTGCCCCCTGAAGGCATGACAAACATTTTAAGTTCTATTTGCATTAATATTTATCAAAAATTGCGCCCGCCCATTGGCTAATTTCTCTCAAATGAAGCAATTTAGCGTTGTGCTACACAAAACAATTTGGTTTGGGCCTGGCCTATGGCGCGTGGCTTGTGGCTTCTGGCTTGTGGCAACAGTGGTCTCTGCAGTCGGAAGTCCGGCTGGGTGGTGCAGGATCCTTCGAAGGACACTGGACGACCCTCTGACTGCCTGGGGCGTGCGTAGAGCTCTAAGTTCAATTTACAAATGTTCAGCAATTGCCATCGACATGCTCAAACCGATCCTACTAAGTTCCGTAAACAAATCTCCTGCTGCTCCTACACAAATGTCTCTGCGCCTACAAAAAATTTGGTTTCCTTCCGTTTGCTAATTTTATTAATATACGTGTTCTAACTTTAAGTGTGTGTTTGGTTGTGGGTGTGGGTGTGGGTGTGGCGTGGCGTGGATGTGGTGTGTGTTCCAGTGTGTGTGTGTGTGGATTCTGCCGGCAGAGGTTTTCTTTTAGAAAACCCCCTTGGTTCGCAATGCGGCGCAGATGTAGATCAGAGCAGCGATTCCCAGAAGCTGCAGTCTGGGGGATATGGAAGCACTTCCTGAACCGCCATCGCAGCCTGTTCCTATGAAAGAAGAAAGAGAAAGGAGTTTTTATTCAGGCAAAAATTTTAGAGAGTTCATTAATGATTGTCTATGAATGTGGGCGGTTGTTGAAAAGGTCAATCTTCAAGCCATCAACTTCTATCCTTCTCTACTAATTGCCATATTCTCTGATCTACTGCTCTGTCATCATATAAGTCAAAAATGATAAGGATTTATTGGGTACCTTTAAAAAAAAAAATAGAAAAGCAGGCTTTCGGGTTTTCGGTGCGAGTTTCGGTGCATTGATAACGAAAGAAAGAATTTCACGCGAACTTACCTTGGACCGCAAAAAGTCCCTCAGAACGGCCTGCTTTGCATTGTCGTATCATAATTTTTTACATTTATGCAAACATCGCCAGTTCATTCGAAAGTTGTTTGGCCACAACAAAAACCAGACAAGATACAAACTTCAAATGGCCCGGCCGGCGATCAAATTTCAACACGCCAAACCAGGCCCACAGACCCGGCAAAGTACAGGGATAACTTGCTCAACGACTTATCATTTATAATCCCCTCATGTGAAGTGCAAGTGTGCAAAATGACTGAAAATCAAGCGTGGCAATAAAACAAAGCGAAGCAAATCAATTTCGAAATCAATCTTCGGCTAGAGCTGGGCCATAAATCGCCTTTATAATATCCGAATTGTTCATATTTCTTGAGCCACGCTGTCGCGTGCATTTAATTTTTGCTAATTTGAATTTAAAAGGCTGACCAAACCATAGATTATACGCTCGGATAATGAAGAAATAAATTGGCACAGCCGCAACCAAAACCACATACAAATTAAACGCGGCGAACATTTGAAACACGTGTCGCTAAAAGCTAAAAGCTAAAGCTAAAGCTAAAAAATACAAAAACGAAACCAAACGATACGATACGAAATGAAGCGAAGCTAAAGAGAAAAGGCCATACAAATGCAAAAGATATTGTATCTACAGACGGTCTTTAATCCGTATCCCAACGCGTGCGCCTGAGTTATGACACGGCAATCATTTATTTATCGCGGCCGGTGACATTTCTCGACTTCGGCGGTGCCAGCGTGTCTGGTAAAAACAGCAGGACGACCGACGATCGACGACCGACGACCAGTTCCAGTTCCCATTGTATAAGAGACATACAAACTAGATCTTGGGTGAAATTTTAAATGGCCATTAAGGCAAATGGGAAGCATTGTTGGCAAGCGCGCGGTTGGCCATAAAGAATAAACCGCTACATATACAAATGCAAATTAATTAATTTGCCAAAAACCCGTTTCGATGGGTAGAAGGGGGATAGATCTTCGGGTGCTAAGTGTGGCAACTTTTACCGCAGGCAGATCAAAAGTAACGCTAAGTCTCGATCTGGAGCTTGTCATATACATATATCCTAAAGCCGGCAAATGATCGATTGGGCAGATATCTGCATTAGGAGGCTGCACCGCCCGCTCTCCCCAAGTCCCCAGTTCGTTTCCCCCAGCCGCATTTGCATACCCGATCGATCGGCTTTATGTAAAACCAAAATTAGCCCCTTAAACCAACACGGCTAATTAGCATAAATTAAGTTTTTATTAATTTGTGAGACAGTAATTTTCTTTTGTGCCACTCATCGACCGGTGGTGCTCTGGTGGTTGCGGTGCTAGACTTGGTGGCGCGGTGCTCTGCGATGGCAATGGCGATGGTGATCTTTCACCCAAAACCCATAAACTTGTCCACTCGCCTTAATGGCTCTGCGACTTTTACAATTTAAGTGCAAACGTATAAAGCCGCGACGCCCACCGACTCACAAGTTAAACTACATATAAAACCTAGAGACATTCGGCTTTTACGGGGCTCGTCATTGATCATTGTCAGGGCCAGGCTTATGGCACATATCCACATTTACATTTCTTTCTCGGTCAGTCGTCCGATCTGGCTCGCAGCTCATTTCCCTGATTGATGCGCACATTTTGAAAAGCTGACAGGGCCATAAATAAAAAACGTGGAAGCATAAATGAAATAAATTAAAAAGCATAACTATAAAATCTTTCACCGAAACAGTCGAGTCATAACCTCTGACTCATGAATGCCACTAAGTGAAAATGAAGAAGCCAAAAGGGCTTTAACTGTATAGCACACTACAATAAATATAATCTAAAATTGGTCAATTTTCAAATATACCATATATTTGCTTTATATAAAAAAAACATATTTATAAGGAGACATCGGATTATATGCAAACCTGTATTATTAACAATCGATTCTAAGTAAACACATATTGGAATGACATTTTATTCTCAAAAAGTCTAAAAAGTCTATGTTCAAATCGTATTTTAATGAAGACTGCACCAAAAATGATAACTAAAGCCAAATTTTTCTTATATCACACTAAATGATTTTTTAATAATAAAAAAATATTTTAAATGCAACAAAAATGTTTTCAGTAAGCTGAAAATATTGTTTTCTCTTGTCATACAAATTTGAGTAAATACATGTTATGTTCACCTATATCGGTTATATTTTTTTCAGTGCCATTTTAAGTCATCATCAATCATTCGAGCTGTAATTTTTAAGCTTAACGATTTTTTGACACTTGCTCTTTGTCCAGAGATTGACGAAAGAAAGTATTGACACTTCTATCGTTGTTATCAGCATTATACATTATCCGAGTGAGTAATCCACTTTAGAGGCAAATGTTTCGCTTGACCAGCTTGAACCCAGACTCAGAGGAGACCGAATCCCAGCTCGTCTTGAGGTGTGGTTTGGATGATGCCGACAGCCATTAGCAGACTTAATGCCACTTTTTACGATATATCGTAGCGAATACGAAATTTATGTTAATTGTATGCCAAACTTACACACAAACGAAAACGACACATCGCAACGGAAAAAAAAGAACACAGCAAGAGCAACACAATGGCAAACAAAACCTCCAACGATGACTGTACTTTCATTCACTTTTTTTCAAACACTTTTTTATAGTTCTGTCATCACTCACCTGCCCAACTCCTGACTTTCGGCAAGTAATCGTTCCAGAAAGAGCACCTGGCCGCCAACGGACCTCTGGCCAACTTCTCGATCTTATCGTCCGTGCTGAAAATGTAGTAGACGGGATCCTCCTTCGAGAAGTTCGGCCACTCCTCGCCATCCTGAGCGGGATTTCTGGAAGTGGTAAAGGCAGTGGATGAAGCTTTCGTTATGGCAAATCTGTGAGAAACTCGGCTAGGGCCAACAAAAAAGCTCGAGGTGAAAAGCTCGGCCCACAAAACTCACCCTGTCTTGGCGAACTCGATGACCGCACTCAGCATACGCTTGCCCAGCTCACGCTCCACAGGTCGATACTGCAGGGAGTTGTTCAGCGGCTGGCCAAAGAAGTACTCAATCTCATCGCCGTGCAGCACGCCCATCCATTCGCCCCACAACGAGGTGCTCGTGCGCTGCAAAAACCAAAAAAAAAAAAAAAAGCCAAGGAAAGGCCGTTGAAAAACGAGAAGAGTGCCGCGACGCTGTCGTAAACTCAGCCAGAAATTATGCAGATAAACATGTACCCTTTTTATTTATTTATTTGATTTTGCTCGCTGGCTCGCTGGCTGGCTGACTGGCGCTCGCTGTAAATTGTAAATATTGTCGCAGCATGCCGCGCACTGGAGCGGCAAAGAAAAAACGAATGAATAAATAAGTAAACGCCTGGTCGACTGCCAGTTCAGAGTTCAGCATTCAGCATACAGCATACAGCTTTCGGCCCGAAACTCTGTCGCCCTTGACAGGCAGCGGCATTAAATGCTCTCGCGTGGCGCCGTTTACACGTATCTCACAGCAGCATGCACTGCAACTGCATCTGGGGACGCGCAATTGCAGGACAGGCTGTTACAATTGGTACGTGCATGCGCGACCACACTGCGTATACGTCACGTCATGCGATGGACCAAGTCCGCCATGAGGATAAGTTGAAAAGCATGATAGCCAAAGGTGCAGGTATTTTTTAAATTTAAGCTTTAGTTCGACATTTTCTTTTGCAGTCAATGAAACTGGTTAAAAGGTAAATTAACTAGTAATGCAGACCCTGTAATGCTTAAATGTTAAAAATCCCTTTGTTGGCATCTGATGATTTCCATCCGAAATGCTAGTTAGACAATAACCTTATTAAATTCAATTTAAAAATTTTCAAATCTTTCCAATCTTTGGGCTCTTTATTGACATTATATTAAAGTTGTCATATTTCTGACAATAAAACGATCTAGTCTTTTCTTTAACTGAGAACATAAGTAGTTGAAACAGAAACTTAGACTTGTTCATACTCAAAGCATACTTTCTGGCTTTTATTAACGTTACTAGTGGGCCGCACTCTTTGTTGCCATCTGATGATTAACATTCCCTGGCAGAGCCAGCCACTCCATCCGAAATGCTAATTAGACAATCCCCTTGTAAAATGCAATCTCATGCAATGCGAAAAACCAAAGCCCGCCAAAGCATTGGCGATCCTGCCGACCATTAGGCCTGGCCAGGAGCTGAAAGCTGAGGGCTAACCACTTAACCATTCAACTTGAGGTGGCCGCAGTCGGGCTCTGCTTGAGCTGCACCTTGACAGGCTGGCAGGCAAGTGCCAGGTCGCATAATGAATAGTGTCCGGGATATGCCAAGGATAATGCTGCTAATGCGGGCTTCTGTTCCTCGGCTCCTTCTGCTCCTGCCAAGTCGTTGGAAATTTATGCGACTTGGCCGTTGGCTGTCAGGACACACGTCCCCTATACGAGTCCATGTACACTCACATAACATAAAAGTCTTGCCGTCCAGTCCTTACGCCTTTTCGTGCAAATAATGAAAAATTGTACGCAGCCGGAGCTGGGAACCAAAACTTTTTGATTTAAGCGCAAAATTGCAAACATAGCAGAGAAACTTGGACGCGGAGGTCATAATGAGAAACGGCATGGTCGAGTCGAGAGGAGTAGTGGTGTAGTGGTGTAGTTGGCTTCTGCTACAGTAGAGTAGAGTACACTGGAGTGCGGCCAAAGCGGAAATTGCGATGGAGGGGAGGGGAGCAGTTGAGCAGGAGGAGCAGTTGAGAAGGAAAACTTATTTAAGTGCCAGGCACGTTGCACGCTGCAGTAGTCAACGGCGAAAGGCGAATGGCGAATGGAGAAATGAAACAGAAACAAGACCCGGAAAAGGGGAGGGCGGGAAAGCGGTGGAAAATGGGGGAAAATGGAGGAAAGCTGGTCAGTCAAACATGTGGCCAGTGGCCATTGGGGCACGGCCCCGCCCCCTTGGTCAACGGCCAAGCAGATAGACAATCTGGCAGGCACTTTAGCAGCTGGCGACCCCATTCGCCATGCTTCGTCGCCCCATCGCGGCCCCGTTTATGGGCAAAGTGAGTTACGAGTTCTGCTGCTGCAACTTGACGGCTGTAATTAAAACTAATTTCATTTGCTTTCATTTCCATTTCGGGGTCGCCAGGCAGCCAGAGTGCCAGCGCCTCTGCTGGGCTATTGGATTATTAACGGGCGATTTGCTATAAACAATGCAGTCCAACTGGCGCCCTGCACGCACTCAGTTTGCATATTGTGCAATCACCTGGAAGGAGCGACGACTCGGCGGGATAACAGTTTAATTATCGGTGCAAACTGTCGCAAGCATTGAGCATATATCAAAAGTGAAGAGCATATTGTGCACCATACTGTGCAGTTTTTTGTAAGCTATTTAAAAGAACTAACGACGCTGTGCATTTTGGTTTCACGCTGCGTATGCGTAATATTGATCTACCTACTGCTGTGATTTTTTCAGCCAAATTACCACTTATCATCGGTCAATATCGACTACAATTCGTAGCTATTAGTATATGTGTGTTCAAGGAATCGAAGCCGGCGAACGAAAATCAATATATTATACAAAGGCCACACTGCGTATACGCATTGTAGCTACGTATTTGTTAATCATTAGGCCGATCCAATTGGGCCTGCAACCAGGCGATATCAATCGTCGACAGCAGGCACCGCAGCCAAAGTCGTTTAAACAAATAACTGACTGAAATTATGCCCCACACGTGCAGGGCATGCGGGCCGTGACCTCGTAAATTGAAGTTTCATTAGTCGACTTGGCTTCCCTGCTCCGGCCCCTTCTTTCAGGTCGTGATCCAGTAACGATTGCCGGTCCTGTTCCCGCACAGCAAAGTAGTTGTGTAGTTGTTGTGTCTGCCCGCAGAAAACCTTCTTGTGCGAGTGCGAGTGCGTATAGTTTAATTGGCGCCCAACGTGGGGCTTTTGTGTGTGCCAGTATGTGTCTGTATGAGGGCTCTTCACTCGCTGGTGGGCGTGTGTTGCGTGAAACTTTTGGTTACCATAATTATGGCGGCCAAGGTTGCCTTCCCTGCCAGCTAAACAACAGCAAGAACAACTGCGACAACGACAACGACAACTACCACGACAACAGCGACCCTTGCCCCCGATAGATGTGACATTATGAAGTCCAATTAAATGGATTGCACGCATTCAGACTGGCTCTCGTCAACAAATTGCTTGATTAATTGAAAAATACACACGGACTGGTTGGACACGCCAAGCAAAATTGCACATGGCAAGGGACTTCATCCGCTGACAGTGATTTTTCAATCATCACAATCATAACAAATACAGTAATTACGCGGAAAATACACAAGTGGCCTGAGTCAAGACTGATCGCAGAAGGTTGACAAACTAATTGGCTAATGAAATCGTTACTTTAGGCACTTACTCATCGCCGGTAAAGGATACTAAACATTGAGTTTAAACAAAAAACTCATGAAATAAACAATAAAGCCTTAACAAATTGAAAACATAAAACCTTAGTTATTTTAAAGGATCAAGGAGAACGATACCATTTGGTAAGTCTAAACATTTGTTGTCAATTTCCATCTCAACCTTAACATTCACAGATGCATGTTCATAAACTTTTCATTACCCGAATAATTATAGACTACGAAATAACACTGGCTTGTCTCCATGTTCGCGCTATTCTTGACTAAAAGCAATCAAATGTCTGCTCCTGACCTCATTCTGGTAAAAAAAAAAAAACGTTCACTTTCTGTGCTTCAGATTAGCCGCAAGCTCTGCCTTCAGGCGTCTCAACCCCTCATCCCCGGCGCCACTCATCAGACTTTGGAAACGCCCCGCCATCATTCAGACATTAATAATTAAAGTTCACACAGTCGCGTTGACATTTGACGCAGACGTAGCTGCTTGTGCTTGAGATGCAGCCACAGTTCAGTACATTTAGAGAAATACTCCTTCTTGAATGTTTCATATTGAAAAATATTCTTTTGTCATATAAAACTATAGCGTTCTCATATTATTTAAGTTGTTATAATGATCAACAAGCACAAGTAGTGTTCCTTAATACCAATTTCTTTACAATAGAAAACAATAAAAATTAAAAGCATTAGACTTCGATTTATAAAAAAACATAGTTTCATAGGAAGTTCAAACTGAATGGGTCGCATGTTATACACTATAATACTCTTTTCTAAACCTAAAGCTTTTAAGATGTCGTACTTAATGTTCATGTTGTTTACGACTTTAAAGTATTATTAAACCGTAAAAAAGTGCATTGATAGTGTACAAAAAATGTTTTCATTTAATAAAGTTTTTTTTAGGAAAGTTTGAGAATCAACTTTGCCAGTGTCGAATACCTGCGACAGTTATCCACTTTGGGGCAGAGCTGGATTGTGCCTGCCATTAGCCTTGTGTGCAATTTTAATGACACGCAAATTGCAGTTGCCTGCGTTGCAGTGGCTTCAGCGTGGATTTTTGCGCCGTTGCGCCACTTGCGCCCCATTTGACCGCATTACGATTGGACGCACGCGCTTCAACGCCATCTTACGTGTCAGAGCCTGAGAAATATTTAATGGCCGCCAACCAGCGCAGTCCTTTCGCGAACGGCTACAGTGGACACCCCCGCTGTGGTACTCACGTGTGTGAAGTAGTAGTAGTGCACGGAGGCGCCTCGCTCCGCCAGAGCCTGGGCATAATCGTTGGTGGGGCAGGTGAAGAAGTGATCGCCCACGGCGCGTCCGATTTGCTGCTGGTTCTGATAGCCAGGATTACCCTCCCAGCTGGTGTACTGAAAAAGAAGAGATGCGGATGTTAAAAAAAACTCCCTGAAATCTGATTAATTTAAAAATGGTATTTGTATTCATCAAGAAGTCTATAAACTCAAAAATCTTCTAGGAACAATAACTGACTTGAAAACTGATAAATTGTAAGTTTTTAAATTAAGCACAGACCACACAGCCAGAAAAAAACGTCATAGTAAAATATAACATAAAAATACCTCAAAGTAAAATTGTTTTTCAAAATACAAACTTACTTAAAATAAACTAACAACATGATGTTAACATAACATAATAATAACATTATTATTAACATACTTAATTGGTTTATCCAATAGAAAAATTTTAGATTTCTATTTTTTTTAATTTAAAACTACATTTTTTTAAAAATAATTTAAACACAACACCCATTGGTGCTAAGACAGTACCGAAAAAATGTAATTCAAAGTGAAAATAATTGAAATTATCATGACTTTTCTCTAGGTACATGACCCGAATAAAGAAACGAAACGCGGTGATTGCTCTAAAAGTTAAAACATATAAAATAAGTGAAAGTGTTGACTTAAATTAGGTTGAAAACTTCACAAGAATGCAGTCCCCAATCAATCATAAAATGAAGTTATCAGCCAGTTTAGCCAATTTCCGTTCGCCTAGTTACGGGGGTTTTGGTTCGTTGAAAATCTGCTGGACCAGCTAATGCCCGGATTCTGTCATGGCTCAACTGTCAAATGCATATCCACTGCTGACGCAGAATGCCGCAAAATGAAATTTCCCGGCGACAGAACAGAGTAAATGAATAAAGCCACTAAATGCAATTCAATCAGCCAGCCGTCGCCGTTGACGTCGCATTTAATGTGTTTAGAACATGCAGCGAATCTGCTGACGACACGGAGTAGTTGCACGTTTCACTAACTTACTTTAAAGGATTCAGACGATGCACTTGTAAAAATTATTACAATTTTGAAATTAATTTTTTTAGCTAAATATATTCATAACAGAAAGAAAAAACTTTCAAGATCAAAACAAACTTTAAAATCTAACTAAGCTAGACATCTTAATGGATAAAAATGTAGTTCAAATAAGTATGGAATTTGTTGTCAGTGTATCTGTCAAATGCATTCGCAGATGCACCACATATCGTTTTTGTCCGATCAATGCAAATGCGTAGTGGAAAGTTACCTGGAAAATGATAGCCTCGCGTTCCGCCTGCGTTGCCTTGCCAAAAATGTTGTTCATAATTTCCAGATATTTGTCCCGTGGCAGCGCCGTGGCATCGTCCTTATCGAAGTAATCGATGAAATCGTACAGCAAGAAGTAAGTGCCTGCAAAATAGGGAGGGGAAAATGCTTTAACCCGTGCGAGGCGAGGTCATGTCATAACAATTGCTGGGTGAGCGGAGACGCGAAGTGGGATGTTGGCCAATCTGGGAAAACAATTACCACTACAGGCTGCGCTTCAAGATGCCGACTCACAATGGAGGGGCCGTGCCAAGGACACCGTGCTCAGGATTAACCCCAAGTCCTTAGTTCCAGCAGCAACATCAACACCAACAGCAACAGCAGTCGCAGCAGCAACAATACCAAAACCAACAGCGGCAAAAGCAATCATAACAGTTTCAGAAGCCGAGGAGAAGTAAGTGAAAGAGTGCACAATAGAATAAAGCAAAAACTTGTGCCTGAAACAAGTCGGCACTATACACTAACGCCGACCATAAAATACCTGGCTTTATTGGACGCAGATGAAGAATTTAAAGTTATTATTCACGAACAGCATTCAATTTATTGTTAATCTTTAAGTACGAAACCTAAATAAATTGTTTAAATCAACTTACAGTATTAGAAAAAGGTTAAAATTCGGCACGCTGAGATAAAAATGCCTGTGTAGGCAAAATATGAGAACATTTTAAAAGTGTATTTATTTGGTCGAATGCTTATTAATTTTTCGTCACAAAAGTTGCGATCGTAACGACTTTTTTACCTCGTTAAGAGGTATTATTGTTTGATAATATCTTAAGCTTAAGATCTCAAAGGCTTAGAGAATATATTGCTATACTATATATTGTAGTATAGGCCTCACAATAAACAATAAACCCTTGTACTCTAATAACACAGGGTACAAAAGGCATGACGACAGAACAAAGCGGCTCGTCGTTGCCTTTTATTAACTTAATTTTTATGGCACTTGTTGTTGGCCCAGTTGTTGTTCTCGGGCTTTTGTCTTTGTCGCACACTTCAAATACGGGCCACACTAACGAACCATAATTGCTGCCTATGAGCGACGACAGCAGCAACACGACCACAACAGCAACAACATAGCAGCAACACCAGCAACACGAGCAACACCAACACTTACAGCAGCAACATCAGGACATACAGTCGAGTATCTGTGTTTGTGTTGGCCGAAGGCACGTGCAACCCATTCCCAATTTATCTTGCAGGCCCACTGTGTTTATGTTTGCTTCGATTCCATTAAGGTCAAGACCTTATGCAAAGCCAGGCACGAGGTGCTTTGACTTGAATTGCAAACAATCTTGAAAGAGCTGCCTGAAACTGTCGCTTACCAAAGTCGATAAGTATTTGCCGGGAAAAAAGGGGAGAGTCAAGAAACATATTTACATTGAGGCTTGGATCGTTTGGTCCTAACAATGCCATTTAACACTCTATGGAACTTAGAGGTCAACCAAACCAAGCTTTGCTATAGTTGTAAATGCAAAGTTAAACTTCTGTCAACTTATTCTTCAAGACTTTCTTAATATGGAAACAACAATTTCCACATTACAATGAGCACAGCAATGGCAACGCATTGGACTTTTGTAGGTTTAAGGTTTTGTAGAGTCATACAACTATGTTAATATTTTCTACTATATGCCGAAACGACCTTGCGCTTTTCAACTATTACTGGATGTCGGGCATACGATTTTAATTAAATTGCCAACAACACACTCACTCTGTGGCCACAAATTTCTCTGGTTTTTTGCGGGAAATCTCACTCCCTCACATACACACAAGCGAAATGTAAATACGGTTTTAATGAGTGTATAATTGAGTTAGCAGCAGCAACAACAACGCCCGGCTGGAGGCGGAATTCAGGACTCAGACCAACAACGATGGAGCCAGCGATAAGTTGGCCGTCTCGGAACGCGAAGCAATTAACGAGTAAACAAGCTGTCTTACACACACACAGGCAAAGGAGGCACAACCACACACACACACACACACACCCGGGTACACATACATAGTCAGAACGAGAAGCATGCAATCGCAAGTCAGAAGAAGGAACTGCCACCAAAAATGAATTATTTAAGCACCGAAAAGTTGGCGCCTTGACTTCATTGCATACTTTTCGGCTGCACTTCAAAGATTCTCCGCCCACAGAAAATTCTTAAAACAACATTCAATTTATATTTGAGTGAATAAGTATTAGGGTTATAGGCTCTCTAGCCATCTGTTAACAGTCTTTTGACTATAGCATTGTATATATTGTTTTATAGAAGATTTTGTAACTTTTACTAGTAAATACATATTTCAATAGAAAAAATAAATAACTAAATAAAACTTAGGTATACAAGTAAAACTCTTAAATGGTAATAACTTGCTGTTGTTTTTGTTATGTTTTAAAAAAAGATGACTTTAAACAAAGCTTGGCTTTTGAAGAAAGTCTCTGTTTTGCATTATATATTTAAAAGTCCCAAAACAGCAGGGCATTTTAACTAGCCAAATGGTTTATTGAGGACAACACGTAAAAATGCAAATAAATACATATAGATATATTTATATAATATATTGTTGGTATATAGAATGTGAAGGGAGAAAGGACGACTGAATTGTCAAAAACAAACAACAAACAGAAAAGGATGCTTTTATGTGAGCGGCTCATCGTAAGGTATTTGAATTTGTATTCGTATTGTTGCAAATGCTAGATGACCTTGAACTCACAAACACAAACACAGGCATACACATACAAACGCACACACGCTCAGCTGAGTAACGGTACTTTTGTACCCACGGAAAATGGTGGCAGTTGCCTGGCGGCCATGCACGCACACCTTTTTGGCCAAGAGAAAATAGAAAAGAGAACGGTGAACGGTGAACGGTAAACGGAGAACGGAGAGCGCGCTGAAGAGAGTCAAGAGCTGAGAGAAAGCGGAAAGCAGCAGCTGTGAGCAATGAGTGAAAGTGAGCAGAGAAGCACACGTGTCTGCTGGCTTATTCTGCTCCTGGCAAGACAGCCGCAACAACAGCAACAGCAACAGCAACTAGCAATGCCAGCAACAGCAACATTTATCGCCCAACAGCAACAAGAAAATCGAAAGGGAAGAAAGGACAGCCAGAGCCAAAGCACGAACTGGCACAAAAGCCCCGAGAATCTTCTTCAATCTGTTATACGAAAAACACAACCCACGAAAAGGACCACCCACCCAAAACACCCAGCGACATCCTGTGGCGGCGGCTCGCGAAATAATAAGAAAAGGAAAACGCAAACGGAAAATTTGTTACAAGTGCGCCACTTACACGGCCTGGCACGGAAAAGCTGGCAAACACAATGCACACAAAGAGTTACGCACCAGATTAAGAAGAACAACAGCCAGTGTAAGACATAAACTATGAGGGGTAAATAATGAAGGAATCAACAGCAACATTTGGCAGAACGAAAAGTTACCAGAGACCTCAAATAAGAATTGTCTAATGCGATTTTCAACTATTGTATTAATTGGGCAGTTTGGAAACCAGTCATATGTTTATTTTTTGGCAATTAACAATTTTATCACTTTAAATCGAGAATAAAATAAGTTTTAGTACCAAAAAAGAATGGTAAGATATAAATTTATTTAATAGCATCTAAATAGTTCTCCAACTACGTTTAGGGCATTAATTAAATACAAAATAAGTTTAAGCCCTATTTTTTTTCATCTTAATTAATTTTTATGTAACAAAGTTGGTTAATTTAGAACAATGTTACATCCAAATATTTTAATGTTTAATTTTACTATGGGGTTGTTCTCTGGGTGTACTTAAAAAAATATCGAACAAAGCATATGCAGTTCTCAAAAAACTAAAAAAAAATATTATAGAACTAATAGCTTTTTATTTGTAATGCAATTACGAAATCAAGGCACAACAATATCAAAAGTATCATAATTTGGCAATTATTCTCTGAATAAAAACAGACAATATATGTATACCTACTGAAAGATTGATTATATTCAATCTACACTCTTAAACCAGTATGAGTTATAATTAATGTTGATTCTTTTGAATGCACACATTTATTTTGTTGCTTTTGCCTAATAAAATAAAGTTCAATGAAATCTAGCTTCGTCTATAAAATTAATTGAAACCAATCATGTTGAAATTTATGAGAAGTTTTTATAGTGATTTATAGTCGCTGTCTGTAATAGGTAAAATATTTTTCCTTGCTGGCCTGGGTAATAAAAAATAATTACAGCCTAACTTTAACTCAACTTTGAGCGGTAATAGTTTGTAGCCCCCTGTTTAATAAAGGCCGCCCCTCTCCTGCCACCAACCCCCTCTTGCCATTTGCTATTGCTGCGGCACGTGTGGCACTCACGCGTCCCGTTCCGCCCATCAAGTTGAGGGCTCGCTTTTTGCTTTCGCTTTTCCACCCACCGCCACCCGCTGTCACCTGAGCGAAATATATTTAAATAATTTATGATGCCGTCCCGCACAGCTGAGCGCCATATCTGAGTGCGTGTGTGTCTGTGTGTGTGTGTGTGTGTGTGCGTGTGTGTGTGTGAGTGTGGGTACGGAAGTTTTCCTTTTTTTCCCGGGGTCACCGCAATTTGCGTGGGCGAGTCTGGCAAGTTTCAGCGGCTTTTTGTGTTTTTTTCTGTATTTTGACTCCGGCAATTCCGGTGCGTTGACACATGCCACACACTCCGATTTTTAAGCTACCACTTTATGTGTGCAGTTGGGAAAAAAGCAAAGATAACAAGGCAAAGTCCTAAAGAAGACTTTTTCAACTTAACAAAGAACTGATTGACATATTTTACCATCTTTTAAGCCTTTAAACTTTTATTGTTTAAACGAACATAAATGCGTCCATTTAGTCGATGAATAAATATTACTATTTCGTTTAAAAATTAAAAATGTTTGTTATTATCTCAACTGACATTCCACTTACACTTGCCGCATTTGAAATTTAAAGTTCACGAAACTCTTAATTTGTGTGTGCAGCCAAGAGGGGAACAAAAACCAGAACACAAAAGCCAAAGCCGGAAAAGCCAACAATACAGGACATTAGACAAAGTGCAGTTTGCGACAGCCCAACCAGAACTAAGTCGAGCACAATGTAACCCACAGAACCACTACCAGCCCCCAAAACCCAAGACCAACTAAACCCCTCGATTCGCCGCTCAGTGTCATGCAATAAACCATAAAAATTAAGCACTCGAGCCAACCGAAAGTACCGAATGCATTACGAGTGCTCGAAATGGGCAGAGGACAGGACATTTTTGAAAAGCAGCCAGGCTAGGCCACCTCACCACCACCAGTACTACCACCACCACCCATGAAACGACAAGAATAAAATGCATTTTGTCTGCCAGCGAGTCAACAACAAAAAGTGTATATAAATACATGTATAGTTGCAGAAAAGTAATAAAATCTCAAATGGATGTAGAGCTCCGAGCTGCAGCGTAAAAGTTTTTAGGGCGCGGAGGCAGGAAGCTGGGCTAAAAAGCTTGGCAAACAACATTGGCAATGGGTAGTACTTTGTTTTGGATAAAGTCTAGCACTGACGTCAGCCGCAGAGGATGAAGAGGATGACGAGGATACAACAATGGAGGCAAGGACGACCCAGAAAAAGGATGCTCGCGATGAAGTCACCGGCGGGAGGAAATTTCTGCGGCTCCTTAGGCCCAGCACACTCACCCTCGTCCCTGACATTTCCCATCAGGATGTCGTAGTCCTTCAGATCCGCCGTCTTCATTAGCGTCATGGGATCGGCCGGCAGGAAGGCTCCATCGATGGTGGGCGCCGAGGGGAAGCTGAGGATGCCCGAGTAGGAGTTCCACTGCTGCACCGATATGGTCTTGGCGTCCACCGACCGCATGCAGCTCATCACGTGAGCGGGATTGGTCTGGAATCGGGAGAATCGTTAATCACTCAAGTTCTGTTAATTAAATCCTTGAGTTATTTAAGCTTTAAAACTAATCTTGCAAAATTGTGTAACCTTTAATAACTTTACCTTAAAATAACATGTTTTTAAGACATTTTGTTTTTTTGGGAGTACTTTTGTATTATAAAAACTTCTTTCCCAAGTAAATTCTAAAATGCCATTTAAAATATTCTATGGGTTATATATAGCTATTGTTATTCGTTTTATTATATTTCCTTTATTTTATTTTTTATTTTGCCTTTAAATGCAACGAAAACTTCTAAAGTTCTAGGTGCAAAACAGTATCAAAAGTCTCTTTAAAGTAAAGCAGCTTAAATGCATATTTTTACTAATTCTTTTTAAAATGTTGTGCACTACTTTTTTTTAATATATATATATATTTAATTTATTACATTTCCAGCACCCTACTAACCTTCAGCATGGAGGCGTTGCAGTTGCAGTCGTTGATCAGCGCCTTGCCGATCTCCACGGCCTTTTCGGAGGTCATGTGGCTCCAGGGGGCGTTCATGGTGCCCGACTGCATCATGCCCCGCTTGACCAGGCCTCTGGTCACCGGCGACATGAGCTGGGCGTTCACCGAACTGGACCCCGCCGACTCCCCGAATAGGGTCATCCACTCTGGATTTCCGCCAAAGGCATGGGCGTTGTCCTTCAGCCAGCGAATGGCCAGAGCCTGGTCCCACAGGCCCACATTTCCGGGCGCCTCCTCCGCGAAATCCGATGGCATCTCCGGCGCCAAGTGCAGGAACCCAAAGGCACCGACGCGATATTGGAAGGAGGCCACTATCACATTGCCCACGGCGGCCATGATGTCTGCATTGTAAATGTCCAAGGTGGCCGATCCGGTCATGAATCCGCCGCCGTAAATCCAGATCAGAATGGGCAGGCCATTGGTAGTGTTCTGCGGATTGCCGTTGTGGATCAGGTGGTCCGTGTCCGCCTGTTTGCCATTGGCGTGCTATGGAAATAAATATGAAAAGTTACTAAGCCTTCAGTTATTTAAAAACTATTTATGATTTTAATTAATTTTATTTATTTTAATTTTAAAGTATTGGGTTATAAAATGTATTTTTTACCCCAAAATTTTTTTATTCAAGTACATTAGGGCCCCACACTTACCTCACCCCCATTGGCACCCCGCCCATGGCGGAGTCGAGCCTTTGCCGGTGCCCAGACGTTGATGTAGAGGCAGTCCTCGGACACATTGGTATTGGGGTTCCAGATCTCCTCGCCGGAGAAGCCAGGGAAGTACTCGTAACTGGGTGCCGGAAAAGAAAGGAGAAGAGAGTTCTTGATTAGCTGGTGACCCATATGCAAATCAAAGGCCGTTTGTCCCCCATCCGCAATTCGGTCATGCCAATTACGTAGAACTAACCAGCTGTGTTATTTATTTTCATTCGGTCTCTCTTCCGTTTTGCCAGCTTTGCTCATACCCTGAGCTGCCCCGCAAATACTGGCACACTCACACACCTCGTACTCCCCCACAATTTGACATAGTTTTTCCGCTTTATAAATGTTGAATCGCTCGAATCGATATCCCTACGCATTCCTACAAAGCACAGCATTTGTCTGCCCGTCTCTATAGATATACCTATTTCTATATGCCGGTGGATGTGTGTGTATGTGAATGCTTAGGTGTGTTTGGCTTCGTGTCCATTAAAATTAACTTTGCCGTTTCGCATAAAAGTAATTTATCACAGACAGAGAGAAGAGGCGATTTCTGTTTCCTACGCCAGCTGCCATTCGCCTTTATCACTATATTTTTCTAATTTCCTTTTGGCTCACACACTTTGATGACTTTTCTTTTGGGGTGCGGAAAAACTTTGGTTCTCCATTTCAAGAGCAAAAGTAAACGAAACCAAATAAGTTTGATTTAATGAATGGGGAAGGAAATAGTTATTTTTTTCTGGTGCATATTTATTAAATATCCATTGCCCTAGAGATTTTCTACTATATTGTATATACAATTTTTATAAGAAAACATTAAAGCATATAGAAGAGTATTTGCCGAGAAATGGTAAGGCTTGAAAAATGATTGGGTCCTTGAAGTTAAATATATTTAATATTGAATCTACATTAGTCGTATGTTTGCGAGCAATATATTGCCGTACCACAAACATTGAAAGGTAAATACAGCGCGATTGCAATTGGCAAAGCCAACATACTGAGTAAAGTTTCGAATTGGCTTTTCTGTTTTCCGTTTTGACCGGCTTTTTGCATGCGGCATGACGTCACTGGCAACAGTTAGGTCAACAGCAAGCTGCCTCTGCAGCCGGGCTGCGATTTTTCATTTCTAGGTCAAATGCAAAAATGGAGCGTACGAGCCCACCTCCTTTCGGACCCCCCAAATATCCGCTAAAGCCAAAGATGAGAAATTGTTTTTAAAAGATAAAATTGTATTCTCACATTTACAATTCTTTAACAAATGTATAACTGGCTAAGCTATTAAAACATAATAAATTATTATTAACATTTTCCTTGTGAATATTGCATTTAAGGTCAAACAATAACGTTTTCTATAAAATTATTCAAAATAGAATTCCTATTCATTTCCTTTTTTCCCCACGATAACATTACGTATACGCACCAAAGCGAGTATTAGAAAAGTACATAAAATTACAACTATATAAAAATAACTCTATTTATGTTTAATTTCCGCTTTTTTATAAAATAATTGACAGCAATTTGCTATGAATAACCATCTTCTCCTTCAGAATGCAGTTAAAATCCAATCTAATCCCCCCCTTTACTCAGATTCCTTCAAAAGCCCCCAGTTTACTTACCGCTCTTGGACGCAGGTGGCGGACAGACGTGTGGCGTCGAGGACGCCGTGCCAGGGCTCCGCCGGCACCGGTTTGCGGAAGCGGAGATCCTCGACGGGCGGCTTGGCGTAGGGGATGCCCGTGTAGACGTGCACCTCTCTGCCCTGCACCGTCACCGAGCGGCCGCGGACGGGTCCGGACGTGGTCTGCACCACCAGGCGGTCGATGACGCCACAGACGCCGGACAGGTGCAGCGATAGCACTAAAACCAGGGGGAGGGGCAGCGAGAGGGGCAGGGGCAGGGGCAAGGACATGGGCAGGAGGCTGCTCTGCCGTACGGAGGCCATGACGCGGATGCGCAGGGCGGCGATGGGTGGCGATGGCGGTGGCGGTGGTGGTGGCGGTGGCGATGGGCGGTGTCCTACTTTGGCCTGACGTCACTGACACTGACCACTGTCTCTGGTGGCGATTCGCGATTTCTGCACGCTGGGTAACTCGGTTAGGAGTTGGTGTTCCTGGCGGATTCGGGATGCCTGCCCGGGGCTGCAAGCCGCATCCACAACTTATTATCCGGTTGAGTTCGCCGCTGCTGCTGCTGCCACAATTGCCACTTGAAGCTGCCGCCCGTGTGTTGCACTACACATTCTCCCGCCGCAGCAGCTTTGGAATCCGGAATCTGGCAACTCGGCACTGGGAATTGGGTTCGAATCTGAATCTGTTTATGGACCTGTTCGGGCGGGGGTTTCAGTTCGCTTTCCTGTGCAGCTGTTGCACTTTTGCAGCGCCCGCTCCGGCTGCTCGGCTTTTGTTCTTCGGCTCCGGCTGTGTTTGAACTGCAAATAGAAGGAACAGGCATTAAACTATTTGTCTGGGCTTCCTGACTGGGTATTTTATTGCTGTGGCTGCACGGTACAAAAATTTAGATATATTTGTTCGGTTAAATGACTTATATGAGTACCCATTACAAATCATTGCTACATATAGTCGTCCGATTTTGTCCAAATTAAACCGTTAATTCCAAAATAATACTCCATCATTAAAAATCGAAGAACTATAAAAAAAATAAAATAGCAAAGCTATAATTTTTTTATATTTTCTTTCGATTGTTCCTATGGGAGCTATATGCTATAGTCGTCCGATCCGGATCGTTTCGATTTATATACTATCTGCAATAGAGAGACAACTTTTGGGAAAGTTATATGCAGATAGCTTGATAGTTTATTGTAAAATAGTACTTATGGATAATTTTACCTGACAATAAAGTCTAGATATAATAATTTTTCTCAGTGCTCTGCCACCGCACTCACACAGACACATGGACGAGTTGACTTGTTGGGTGCTTGTGTCGTCTGCCCCCGTTTGTATGCTGCAATATTTATGTGTTTGCCTTTGGGTTAGTGTGTGTGTGTTTACCACTCGGGCAAAGATGCAAAGCTGCCTCCTTTCTTGGTCTCGGCTTGCATTCAAAACTTTCTGAGTGTCACCTGTATCCGCCCACCACCCATCACCCACCGGTGGGTAACCAGCACACCTGCCACCAACCAAGCCACCAACCAAGCCACTCACCGGATACTCTCGAGTGGCGCATATCGCTCTCTAAGGCTTTGCCTGCAACGTCGTTAAACATATTTTCTTATATGCTTTCATTAGAGTCACTTGACCGATTTAAGCAAATATCTTTTCAAACCAATGCAGTCGGGGTAAGCCCATGGAATCCCGGGGCGTTTTGTGCTAATTTGAAATTTCTGAAGCTGGTCCAATGGCAAAAAAAAACCTGTACAAAACATAAAAAGGTATAACCAAAACTCGATTTCAAAGGCAACCCAATTAAAGTAACAATACAAATGAATACTGGATAGAAAACCTTCATAAATTTGCGTTTGACAAGTATGTATCATATTATAAAATCTTTCGATCTAAAGAAAACTTTGTTTCTTATGATCTTATATTAAAAAGTTTTGTAAGTATATATTATAACTTGTCTACCTTCTGATTTTTACTAAATTCAGAATAATAAACTTGAAAAAATAATGCTAAGCTCTTGTGTAGTTTAGAAAGATCAAATGTTTAAAACATTACAGGAAAAACAGTCGTTTTTCGTTTTCACAAGTTCTTAGCACATGCTAAAATATAAATAAAGTTCCAAATGTGACAACCATCTTACGAAATAAAGTTGTGCTCCCTGATCCCGCGCCGTTTTAGAACATTTTAAATTGGGAAGCTGCTGTTTGGCAGGAAAAACAAACATTTCCCAGTGGAAAATTCCTTTTTTAGTTCACGTCCTTGACGTTTTCAGGTTGCAGCAACTGCTGGCTTCGAATTAAGCCAAGAAACTTGAATTGTGTTCGGCTGAGCCTTGCATGCTGACAGTCCATTAGATGGTGCTCGTGTAATAATACCGCTGCCACGCCCCCTGCAGTTGCACCGCCTTAAGTCTTGGGACCCCTTCTAGATCCCTTTGCTTGGCAACTTGTCTGCATAAGGACAAAGGGACCAGGACCTAGAGGCTTTTGCAGCTGGCGCCGCAGTAATTTAAATGTTATTTAGCCGCGCAATTAAAATGGCATTAAGACGGCACCGAAATGCGAGTTGCAGGCTGGCAATTTAATTCGCTCTCCACCTCCCCCACCTAGGTGCACATTTTAGCTAAATTAGCTCAATTTTCCTCTGGCTCTTTGCATTTTCCCCGAGTTTCCATGGCAACTGTCGCAATCTTTGAGGCGCTTTTCCGAGAGTGTTTCTAAATGGTCGCTGCCTGGTACTCGGGAGATAAGACGTCCTGGCCTAAGTGAATATTTTCTTAATTCTTGCGACTGCAGCAGTTTTTCCCTCTGTTTTCCGGGACGCACTTTTCACTAGAACTTTTCCATAAACATGCGCATTTTTTACCCTGCCCAAAGGAGGGGTTTTTTGAGCGGGCGAAAGACGACCAGAAGTTGTATTTATCTTATTTTATTTTATATCTGCCAGTGCCTGGAAGCTCACAGCTAAAGCGCTTAGTTTTAGCTGACACGAGCCGTTTTTCTTGCTAACTCTGTGTTTATAAAATGTCAACTTCAAACTTGGCTGGAGAAGCCACTGAAATCCAGAGAAGTGTGTTTAACTATAAGAAGCAGTCTAAGTTTAATTCGAGGCAACGGTAGACAAAATTCTGGTCTTGCTGCTTTTTAGCTTAATTCCGGTTCAATAAGTATGGAAAACAATCATTTTTAAATTGAAAATTCGAAATTATCAGAGCTGAAATTAAGCAAAATATTTCTTGACATTCTTGTTAGGAAGAGGAAACCAAATCTTAAATATTTTAATTGAAGTTTAAAATCTGTCTACAGCGTCAACATGCTATTGCTTTTGTATAGTTTTTCTTGTTTCGATTTCGCTTTAGTTTTTTCCCTTTTCCCTGCTGAAATGCTGTCATGGATATGATAACCCACAAAGTGGGACAAGGATAGCCGGAAAATGAGCGTTAGAAAGAGACAGTGGGAGCGCGAAAATTTTAATGACATTCAAATTAAATTATAATTTCAAAAGTTTCGGCGTGCCGGGGGACGGGGAGCGTTGCTGATGACGACGATGACAAGGACACAGGTGAAAGGCACCGCCCACCCACAATCCCCGCCCCCTTTTCCCAACCCAACACCCCCACCCCTTTGCTCATGCGGGTCAGCTTTGTTGGCCAAAGGTCACAGCGACAGCAGAAAGGAAAAAAGGTTTGGCCAGCCCCCAACGACCCCCTCTCTGCTCCCAATCAACTTTCTTTATTTTCCCCATTTTCCCACCTTCCCACTTTCACCGCCGCCATCGATTGTTTATTTCGTTTGCTCTTGTTTTCAAAATTTGGCAAATGCTGAAAAACATGGCAAACGACAAAACGAACGGTAAAACCCAAAGGGTAAACAACACAAAAGCAAACGAAACAAAAACAAAGACGAGAGACACCGAAAATGGCGGAGGAAAAAGAGAAAAGTCGGAAAAGCGGGGGAGTAGGGAAAAAGTTAACTGTGTTTTGTTTGTGTTTTCATTTTTGTTTACGGGCTTGTGATGTTTGGCATTCATGTTTTTTCTATGATATTATTTTTTTTTCCTTGTTTGTATGAATATCAAGACAAATACATAAAAAATAATTGCAAACCTTTTTTTAAACAATATTTTTAAGAGCTAACAAAAAAAGGATCCCAGAAAAATTGTTTACAAATTGTCTAGGAATAAGCTGTTTTCTTAACCAAAAAATATTTTAAAATTTTATAAGATTTTTTAGAGTTTCCCACAACCGACTTATAAAGAAAGTGGAATTGAGTTTTAGTATTTAAATATATATACTTCAACAATAGCTTACTTATTATGGGCCACCGAAAAGCATATTTTGTTCCTAGATCTGACTGCCTAGCTACCATTTTGGCAGTGTATAAGGTGTCTGTTTTAATTGATGAGTTGAAGAGGGTAGTGACGGACAGGTAGACCGTCAGTCAGCGACGCTTAATTGGTACCAGAGGGTAAATCAAGAAGTGAGGGATTGATGTCTATTATGGACTGAATACCTAAGGAGCTGTTGGCTTAAAAAATTTCTCTTATGCTGACGATTGCTTAAGGCAAGACATTATTCCCTGAAGAAAATCAAAAATAGAATCATTTTCAGGAGAGTGACAGAGTTAAAGCTACGTGTATTACATTTGTATCTCACTAAGCAAATCTTACCTAATGTTTTCCAGGCCATTTCCCTGCATTCTTTTCCGGTTTTTAAACCGCCAAGCAATCATTAAACCCCGAAAAATATGGCCATCTGCTTTAATGAGGCACAATCATCATCAAGTTTTCACTGACCATTTGACCTTTTCATTTGCCGGGCGACAGGACTCAGATCACAGGCCTTTAGCCCGGCCATTCGGCGAATGTCTGGCGCCAGGAAAACTATAAAATAAATGCTCGGGCGTGGCGCAGAGGCAGAGAAACCCAAGAACCAGGAACTTACGTTCATCTTACGATAGAAACTGCTCAGAATTTAAATAATTTTCTTTGAAGTATCTTGAAACTTTTAATAACGATTAATTCCTGTGCTTTAGTAATATAAATATTAATATACATATAAAGACTTAGCCATTTTGATCCAAACTTGTATCCTTATTGTTGCGACCAAAAAACTTTTTTAGTGGATTGGGCAACGGAAACCGATTTGTTTTTAAATGGAACTCAAGTTTTGAAAATGCAGATATTAATCACTTTCAAACTAGCAGTCTAACCAAAGACTCCATTGCTGCAGGAATGCATTCTAATTCACTTTCTTTGTTAGAAGAAACACCCCATTGAAAATATAAAATCTTTTCATTGTCTTTATATGGAGGTGGTTTTATTTTCGGTCTTATATATTATAAATGTTACAAACTATACTACAAAAATTAAAATGTTTGCATTACAAACAAAACAAATAATTAATTAATTTAAAATGAACTTAAAAGTCAATGAAAGCTACAGTAGTTTTTTTTTAAACAAAAAGTAGTATATAGAAAATAAGAGAAGTCAGAAGTTTATAATTGGTTTTCATGGAACTTTTCAATTAATAACAATAAACAAAGCTTTACAAATTTCTGTGGAATTTGCTGAGTTCGATTTTATTGTGTAATTGCTGAAAACTAAGCAATGAAACTACGTAGAGTCCCACTAATACGTCAAAATTGCACAGCATGAGACGAAAAAACTGTGGGCCTGAGGAGGCAGCCAGTAGCGCTTAGTTTTTTATTGCATGGCGCCGCATGTGGCGGCTGCGGCGATTGAAGTGACCCCCTCAAAGGGGGGTGGAAGCGGGAAGATGGGCGGTGGTCTGGTGTTTGGTGGCGAGGGA